GGGGGGGGGGGATCTTTCTGCTAGGATGTTTTTTAGGTGACAGTGTTAATGGCAGTGGCAGTGAGACAAAGATTATGACAATAGGAACAGAAGTGGCATGAAACAAAGACTATGACAATAGGAATGGAAGTGGCATGAAACAAAGACTGTGGCAATAGTAATGGTGGTGACAATGGCAATGATAAAGACAAAGACATTGATAAGGATAAAGATAATAATAATGACAATGACAATGACGATAATAATTAATGACAGGTATAATGACAATGACAACAACGATGAAAATGACATTGACAACAACGATGAAAATGACAATGACAGTTTGAGTGACAAAGAGAACGACAATGTACACCTTTATGCGTGTCGCAGGGAGAAATTTGTCTCAGGTGTTTACAACAACACAGAAGTCACAAAGTTCATGTGCACTCAGTCGTACCCACAAAAACATAGGACTTAGACATTACATGCTGAGCCGTCCCCCGACCCCTGTTTCCCACCCCCCCTTCACTCCCCCTCTCTCTCTCTCTCTCTCTCTCTCTCTCTCTCTCTATCTCTCTCCCTCCCTCCCCTCATCTCTCAAATCAAATATATAACACCAAGAAACTCAAGCATACTCCACATAAATAATACGAATCTTCACAACGACGAAGGAGGAAAAAACTAGAACGAATATAGCAACGAAAATGATCCAAACAAATATCTTGTAGCAAAACAAGAGGAGTCAAGACGTGTTAGGAACAGCCAACGACCATTGAAGAAGTCGCCAAGATTCCAAGTTGTCAACAAAACCCAACTGTAAGCACATCCATTGAGGCAGGAGAAGGGCTATCGAGTGAAGAGGTTCGCTCGTTAACGAAACATGCTCCATCTTCCAGGGGGGGAATCTCTAGAACACTCTCAGAGTGCAAGGTGTAACGTTGACGGGCCCACAAAGCAAATAGTAGACAGTTGACAGTGGCAGAAGATGGGTGCTAGTGACTGTCTAGTGTTTGATCAGCGGATAATCTCAGAGAGACTGACACATCGCGTCAGATCTACCCACGCTGGTGCTGACAGCTCTTTTCACAACAATATCCCTTTGGTGATGAGGATGATGATGATGGCGATATTTTTTTTATTATTTTAAAAAAAAAAATTATAATAATAATAATAATAACAATTATTACTATAAATATTATTATTATTAGTAGTAGTAGAAGTAGAAGTAGTGCCATCATCATCATCATGATCATTAATCATCATCATCATTGTGGATAGGTTAAGCCGTCAAAGGACTTTTCTCTGATTTGTCTTCTTCTTCTTCTTTTTCTTCTTCTTCTTCTTCTTCTTCTTCTTCTTCTTCTTCTTCTTCTTCTTCTTCTTCTTCTTCTTCTTCTTCTTCTCC